GTAATATTACGTGCTTCGCATGTTTCCACTGTGTGCGGACCAGGTAATATTACGTGCTTGTGATCAGACTGCTTGTGACAGATCGGTGTTCACGACACCCGTACAGCATTGCAGACTTCCAAAAAAAAATCTGCTCTGATGAAATTCAACTTGTGATTTCAATTGTTATTTCTACTTACATTATGGGGCTTACACAAATCTCAGACACACAGACACAGAACAGAGATACACAGAACAACACGAAATTGAAACCTGTTAAAACAAAACGAAATAAAAACAGAACGAAAACAAAACAGCGCCCCCTATTTTCAGGCAAATCTTTACCTTTTTTTGTTTTGTATTGTCTTTTTTAAGACCGAACAAACGGTTTTCAACCGAGTATAGTTTAGAACCCGTCCCGTGTACTCATCGATCTCTTCTGTGAATTTGGCGCTATTTGGATCCAAACTGACGGAGCCTTTCAGTAACATACATACAACATTCGCCAAATTATAGTAAGATGATGAAGAATGCATGGATAAGTAGATGACCCCTTTTCAGATATGATCACTGTGTGATATACAACAACATAATACAATAATAATACAGTATTACAATAATACCGAATCCAATTTCAATTTTCTGGTGTTCTTTTGTGCAATTTTTATTTTGTAGAGCGGAACTCCCTGTTCCGCGGGGGAGATCGTCCGATCCACCCGATCCCTCCTGGTTACGGGCCTGCACGTGCACATGCACACATGCACACACGCACGTGCACATGCACACACGCCCGCACGCACGTGCACACACACGTGTACATACACACACGCAGGTACACATGCACACACACACACACACGCACACACACACACACACACACACATACACACACACGCACGTGCACATGCACACACGCACGTGCACATACACACACACACACGCGCACGTACGCACGCACACACACACACGGACGCACGTGCGCACGCACGAACAAATGTGTTTGTATATATTTATGTGTAAAGTCAACGTAATACCATACACTCAGAATTCTCAGCCTATATGAATCACTAGCTGGGCTACACAGCGATGCCCGGGATAAAGAAGAAAACAGCTAGAATTTAGTCTGCCATCACGGCTGTACATCCATCCCTCTCCCTCCCCTTTTCTCTTCCCCCCCCCCTTATTACATACATAAATCTACTACATAAATGGGGGAATCTGTCCAAACTCGTTCGAAAATGTACCGGTTATTCGCAGGGGGGAGGGATGATGATATTTAATGTTATATTATTATTAATATTACTAATACTGTAACGCTTGTACCTTATATACTGTATAGCAGTGTTTAACAGCAATTCATGCGTTCATCACGACCACAGACGAAAGATTGACGTATCGTTGACTCTGGTATTCTTGCGTTACACACTGAACCGCGTATTATACACACCTCTCGAGCGCTGTAACTGACAAAGCGTACTCCCTGCAGGCTGCGTTCACTGCTTTGCACCCGAACCCACCCAAAAGCAAAACGAAAATCGTTCGAAAATGTACCGCTCATTCGCGGGGGCGCCACCGTCCAATAACATTTTATGCATTGGATTGAATTAATTTTATTTGTTGCATGCCCCTATCGGCCCATGGAAGAATGACATAATTAAATAATAAACATAAGAATCATGTATGAGAACATTTGACAAACAATGAAATAAATGGTAAGATTTAATAAATAACTATAGCACCCGGTGTAACGTGACACCATAGATAGTTCACGTACATATACGGTCGTTTTTGATGTTTTGGCTTTAAAAAAAACATTTTGTTGGCTTAAAAATAATGGTCGTCGCGTCATGCTGATTCAGAATATATATGGTGTTGGGGGTCACCTGTTACGGGTCTCGAGAAGATAGACGGACTGAGTGACAGACAGATTCCCCCATTTATGTAGTAGATATGAATTTACTACCAGGAGTAAATATATTGTGATTATTTGTGATTATTTACTGTTTGTATTACAGTACACAATCTATAGTACGTATCCAAAATTCTGAAAACCGAAAAGCTCGGAAAACCGAGTTTTTTCGTGGAGGTCGTCTGCACACCAAACCTCGCGTTTAGCCGCACAAGGTTCACTGCAGAAATATTAATGTGTTTGGCATTACTCATACATATTGTATACTGTACCAGTACATCACTTGGACACTTGAAAACTTGGGTTTTGGTACCTACTGGCTAGTTGCAGGACATACGGTATATACATTCTACTATATTCATACTACCTACCATTCCAAAATCCGAAAACTTCTGAATTCCGAAACGTGTCTGGTCCCAAGGGTTTTGGATAATAGATTGTATACTACTTATAACCTGATGGTCAGTGTGGTAACACCTTACAGTGAGGAGCTTGCAAGCTCTCATTATATATATTTTACCAATGAATGAATTACTAATAAATAAATTCGCCACTGCTTGAAAGCGACACTAGATGGCAGCAGGCAGAAGGAAACACCGAAAAGCATGATTTCATGCCAACAGCAGTCAGTTGATTACAGCAATCGTTGTACTGTGTTTGCCACTAGTATCCCACAGGAAAATTTGTTATCATTGCGCGTGTTATGTGTGGATGTGGGTATGAAACTACAAATTCTTTATAAAACTTTCTTTATAAAACAACTTTCTGTGCGTGCGTGCATGATTACAGTAATCGTTTAACTTTTCGTCTGCGTGCATTCGTTCCCTAACCCAGCAGTAAACCTCGCAAAGCCGTGAGTAACTGACACAACGTTTATTTCCACTGTCACCGTCACAACACCTCCCACCGCCGTCGCACCAAACCCGACTCGTTCCCCGACATCACTGGTGTTAGTAATTAAACGTAATTTGGTTAATAAATATTATAAGTAGCCGGCCCGAACGACGTTGCACCCTCATATAAATAGCTTTGCAATCTCCGCGCTTTTTAACGACCACGAGCAAAATAGCGACGCGGGCGCGACAAGACATCGGCAAGAGTTACTCGAACCCTCTTCACCGTCATAGCAACAAACTTTTAAATACTCGGTGGACGTTTTCGACGTGCAGACGATTCGCTTCTGCTGCCGCAATGCGATTACCGTACAGATTAAGGACGAATACAAGCGTCGGTACGCAGATGGCGTATTTTGTGCTTTAAATGAGAAACCCACCCCTTCCCCTTCGTCGCTCCGCTGCCGACCCCTCGTCGTCGCAGACACCACCTCATTACGGAGATGCCGTCTTTCGTCCTCTAGGTAAGGCCAAAACCCATCTATGTGCTGGTTCTCGTTTCCCGACCGCACTCTATTTATTCGCGCAGCGACCCCTCACCATTTTTATTGTCCTTCTTTTCCAGTGAACAAAAAACATCTAACCAATTCCCCGTTTATAAAACATATGAATTGGACCGTTTTCCTGCTTCAAACGGCACCGACGCTCTTCTGACATGGTTCGTCACGTACCATGTTTTAATACCCTACCTACCATATTTTTCGGCATGCAACTGTACCACAGCCTATACTTTTATTGGCGGCTAAGCTGCCCTTCTGCTAGCCGGTAGCACACTCTACCGACCTGAGCGTCATTGAAGGGCTTACGTTGGCATTGGATGTTCTAGTTTGGCTCGGGAGGCTTACGCATTGGCTCTGCGGACTCATTTTGGCTCGCGATTCGATATTTTGAAATCGGAAGGCAGAGTCGGGTCGGATAGTGTGCGGGCGCTTACCCGCGACTCGATTAGTGTGCGTGCTCCATCACGACCCGATCGCGTGCGCTGAATGAAATTGACCAATGCACAGAGCAGCGGTCCATGCGAACCCGCTTTCGATGGAATGGCCATCGAACCATGGGACAACCTCCGACCCTTAGTCACAACGGTTCAATCGCGCCTGGGAACCGCGCACGAGAGCTGCCATGGTTTGCGCTCAACTTTTGAGTCGGACAGTGTGCGGGCGCTCCCGATCGATCGGGAGCGGGTCGTAAGTAAGTGGCGGGGCCTTAGTGCTTGTGGCACAGTGCAAAATCCGGATAGTGTGCGGCTAGCCTACTCCCTCGTCTCGGCTCACCGACCCTCCCCCCCCTTCTCGCTTCACCGGACCGACCTGCCTCCCCGCCTTCTCGCTTCCCGACTCGCCTCCTCCCCCCTTCTCCGCGCGTTCACCGTACCGCCTCGCTCCCCCTTCTCGCTTCACACCGACCCCTGCCTCCCCCCCTTCTCGCTTCACCGACCCCTCCTCCCCCCTTCTCGCTTCACGCGACTCTCCTCCCCCACTTCTCGCCATCACCGACCCCTCTCCCCCCTTCTCGCTTCACCGCCGACCCTCCTCCCCTTCTCGCTTCACCGACGCCCGTCCTCCCCCTTCTCGGCTCACCGCCCCCTGCGCCTCGCGTCGTGCTCGCCGGCGACACGGCCCGCCGCGACCCCTCCTCACTTCGTTGCCGTCGTCTCCTGCTGGACGAACGGCGGGTAGCGTGCCTCGGGACCTCGCGCCAGCGCGTGCCGCGTCAGTACCGCGAGGTCAGCACACGAGCTGCGGCAGCGCGTCTAGCGGCGGCCCGTCACCTGGCCGGCATCGTGTACGCGCCTTCAGGTGCGCAGCGTCGCCGTGTCGCGGGCTCGCGCCAGCGTGTTCGACGTCGACCGTCAGGCCCGACGGATCGCAATCTCATTCCGAGCCGCGCGTCCCGCCAGTCGCGATCTGACCCGGCGCCGTCGTCGACAGCCGGTGCGGCGATCGTCGAGGCCGGTCCACCCAGCCGACAGCGCCGGCAAGCGTGCGCGCGCAAGTCGGCGTTCGCGCTCACGGCAGCACGACGCATTTCGACGGCGCCCCACGCAGGGCGCGAGCGAGAAGTACGTGCGGCTGCTGCGTCGTCCGGGCGAGCGGAAGCTCCTGCTCGAGCGCGCGCTAGCTGACTGCGGCCGCTGCCGCCCGAGCCGGCTCCGCCGCACGGACCGCGTGCACCGTCCTTCGGACGTGCCCCGTGCGCGTGCGGGCGACGCACCGCACAGCCGATGTGCGCGCGATCGCGACGTCGCGCCCGCGCCGCTCACTCGGCCAGTCGCCGCCCCCGCGCTCTTCCATGTCGCGCTCACGAGCCGCGCCGCGACCGCCTCCGCGTCGAGCGCGGCTAGATGGTCGCCGACGGCGCGCGCGTCCTTCTTGAACGCGCGGCCGAGCTCGCCCTTCTGCGGCTGGCATTCGACGATGTCGACGGTCTTCGGCTCCGGCAGCTTCTTCTCGGCGACGAGGCGCGCGCCAGTCGCGCGCGAGTGACACGTGAGGTCGTAGCAGGAGCGGTCGGCGCATCCGACGCACTCGATCCAGCCGTACGACGTCTTGCACTCGAGGTCCCAGCAGTCGCACGCGTAGTGAGCCATCTCGTTGCCCATGTGCTGGCGGAATCGCACCTGCGCCGGGTCACAGCCGATCTTCAGCACGAACGAGTAGATGCGGCCCATGAAGTACCCGAGCGTCTCGTTGTCGATCGTTCCCGCGGCGACCGCCTCGCCGATCGTCTTCGTCTCCGCCGCGCGGCCCTCCATCTGCCGCGCCGCCGAGTACATCGTCACGGCGATGTCGGCGACGCTCGCGAACTTCGGGTGCCGCTTGCACGCGGGATCGACGAAGTGCTCGATCTCCGCCATCGGGAACTCGCGGACGCGCACGAGGCCAGAGCGCGGCGAGATCTCGTTGCGGAACGCCGTGCCGATCTGTGCGGCGGCGAACGGCAGCCGCCCCTGGTTGAACTCGAGCAGCCGCTTGAAGTTGACGAAGATGCCCTGCGCCGTCTCCGGACGCAGGTAGCCGCGAACGTGCCCCGACGGGCCGATCTGCGTCGCGAACATCAGGTTGAATTCGATCGGGTCGGTGACGTCGTTCTGCGTGACGGGCGAGCGGACGCCGTAGCGACGCAGCGTCTCCGTCATCTGGTCCTTGTCGAAGCCGTCGAGACGCACGAGGATGTTGTCGATCTCGGCCTTCTCTTCGACGGTGGTCTTTTTCTCGGCGCGTTTCTTCTCGAGCGCGGACTTGATGATGTGGTCGACGCGGAAGCATTCTCCCGTCTTGACGTCTTTCACCTGAGCCGAGAGAATTTATTAAAGAATTGAGTGAAACACAGAATTGAAAAATGATGGGAGAATTGAACGAGGAAAGAGAACTTGAAATGATGGGGGAATTGAATGAGGAAGTGAATTCAAAATGAAGGAGAATTCAAAATGGTGGGAGAATTGAATGAGGAAGAGAATTCAAAATGACAGAAGTGAATGAGGAAGAGAATTCAAAAGGATGGCGGAATTGAATGATGAACAGAATTCAAAATGATGGAAAACGAAACGGTGAATTTGCGATCGGAAACAAACTACGTAAAACGGCGAATTCGCGATCAGCGCCATCTACTTTCTTGGCCGTAAAGTGCCTAGCTAGTACGTGTAAGAGCAACTCTGGGTTTCAGGCTAGGGCGAGTAACAATCCAGATACGTGCGCATGATAGTTTGAATACACGACCAAAATCAATAGCTTTATCCACGCGAGAATTTAATGTATTGAGCATAAAATTGTTGCTAATATGTAAAGCCATAGGATATATATTGTAGCGTTGTCCCGATGATCGATTATAATCGAAAGTCAGTCGTTTGCAGCAACAGACTATATTATAAGCACTCGAAATGAAAATAAATAATCAATTATATATTTGAATTTAAAATTCTATTTTATTTTTGTTTTTATTTTGGTGCTCCAACTTTGCAGCTTGGAGACAGTAAATGATCGATGATGAAATTCCAACCAATTCCTAGTATATTGTATAACTATTTCGTATATGAATTTATAACAGCCGGTTGTCTTTATCGATTTGACTTTCGTTTTCGATTTGCTAAATCTCACAATTTGACAGGGCCGGAAAAAAAGCCCCGTGGACACAGTAGGAGGGGGGGGGCTGTTTACGGGGCTTGGGCCGATCGGCCCCATGAACAGACAAAGCCTGAAAATTGTTGCTGATATGTGAAACGATGGGATAGTATATATTGTAGGCGGCGAGCGACGACATTCCTAGATCGTTCCTTCGTTCGCACGTCACTGTCGGCGACCGACACTCACCAGGGTGCGAAATTAACGGGAGTCCGGAGTCAAATACTCCCCGATTTACTGTCGGACTCCCTGATTTGATGTATGCAGGAGTTATTGTGACTCCCTGAAAATTCTGCATACTAACTAGTTCGTTCAGGAGCACGGCCTCGCGGAATTACTGTATTTTTTCAGCTAATGTTCAAAGAAAGTTTGTAGGACGTGCAACCGGATGAATCTTAAAAATAAGCACATGCGTTATTGTTAATATCTTTAATTTTGAACCTCAGACTGCGGACTCCCTCATTTTGCTGTGGACTCCCTCTTTTTAAGAGTATGGAGTCCGTTGGACTCCCGTGTTCAAAATTCAATTTCTACCCCTGAAAATATTGTTTGTTTGCCCTCACCTGACCGACCCGCCAAAAAGGGACCGACTCAAAATATTTTATTGATCTTTCCCATTTTTTTTTACAAATTGTATCACTGTACATTATATAAATCTGTAGGGAATACACTACATGTACCAAGCAAAACAAACATTCAACATAAAAGGTATCTCCACACAAGCACACCCCAAGTATGTAGACACCATGCTGAATTTGTAAAAAAGACCCCGCCCTCAAAAAAAGCCGACCTACCTACCCAAACTTTTCAGCCTGGGTCGGGTGAGGGCAAACAAAGATTTTTTTAATTATGGCCTAAACCTAACCCTAACCATTCCCTTAACCCTGATCCTAACCCTAACCCTACCCACATGCGTTATTGTTAATATCTTTAATTTTGAACCTCAGGCTGCGGACTCCCTCATTTAGCCGTGGACTCCCTCATTTTGCCGTGGACCCCCTCATGTTGAGGGTAGGGCGTCCGTCGGACTCCCGTGTTCAAAAGTTAATTTCTACCCCTGCTCACCATGTAGTCAGAGAAGCGTTCGACGTGTCCCGAGGCAATGAGAACACTCTCCAGCGTCAGCATAGAGCAATCCACCTCCAGCATCTGTTCCTCTAGGATGAAGTGCTTCCTCCACAGATTCAGTATGTTCGTCTTCAGCGCACACCCCATCGGCCCGAAGTCGTACTGACCGGCGACACCTGGTGGCAGACGCGCGCGTAATAATAGTTGAATTCACGAATGGATACATTTCAGTGAGAATTTATTTAACATAATAAAAATAATTTATTAAATTCAGATTTTAATGAAATTAGAAATAAATAGTATTTTAGAGAAAATACTCTCGTACTCACCGTCGACACCTAGAGTGACATACATGCGCGTAATTAGTAGAATTCACAAATATATTCATTTTGATGCAAATCAATTGAAAATAATAAAACATACACATTTTAGCATTATTCACGAATGAATTTATTTTTTAAATAAAAATTGAGTTACTTTAATAAAACATTATAACAATAAATTTAATTAAGATTTTAATGAAATTACAGCTAAATAGTATTTCATAAAATACCACAATATATGTTAAAATCACTGATTGGAATATCTTTGGCACTGGAATCCTCCCTTCATCTTGTATGAAATGTTATTAGATATCGCCTCATTCTCATTTATATACGAGTACATCCACATACACAGTCAACACTTAACTTGTCAAAAAAACAAATAAAGACACTTGGCAGGGTTTTTAACATGAGTTATCAACTTTATACGGCAGCGCATCTGAGCGAGTGCGCGCAATCTGAGCGGGCTCTGGCACCCTTACGCCACACTAGAGTATACAGCAGACTTAGCATATTTGCAATAGTATAGTAGATTGGATAAAAATCGTTCAAAATGTGAAAAAAGAAAGAAAATTGGTACACTTGCATACTTTTGTATGCTCTTTCATTTAAAGACTGGACACACGCGATCCAACTACAACTTCGGCCGCCATCTTAAATTCAAAATGGCCGCCGTCATTTCTTAAAAAATAGCTATATATCTCGGTTAATAATCTTCGTACAGACTTGAAAATTGACTGACAGACGTAATTTGGGTTACTATTTCATACAACAACGTGAAATAGCTATATCTCGGTTAATAATCTTCGTACAGACTTGAAAATTGACTGACAGACGTAATTTGGGTTACTATTTCATACAACAATGTGATGCATGTGATCCAAGAGCCGTTTTCGGCCACCATCTTGGATTCAAAATGGCCACCATAAAAATTACAAACTTAGCAATATTTCCTTCCGTTCACGGAAGATATAGAGACGTGAAAATTTGCAGACTGGCGCAGGTTAATACCCAGCCGGCCAAGTCGACACATGCCGTATCCAACACGCGCTGGAAACGAGGAAAAAACACGCATTTTATCGTGGAGTTCTACACACGCATTTTCAACGTTCTTCAAGTAAACGCGCCGTGTAGACTACACAAGCAGTTCAAACACGGCATTAATCTTCTAAATTACACATGTCCTAATAAGACAGCTAGAGTACACATATGTAGCAATAAACATCATTAATCCTTCACTGACTGAAGACAAAAAATAGTTAAAAAATCATTACCCAGCAAAAACAGACCAAAATCTCAACGAATTGTTTAATTAATTTCGTCATGATGTGAATGATCGCAAGTCGACGTTTATACAACGCGAAAAAAGTTCGAAACATCGCCTGGAATGTCTCCTAAGAAATCTACAAAACACCGGCATGATCACTCTCCCGCCGTTCAAGCGAAGTTTGCTCAACATGTCAAGGCAATGGGCGATCACAACATTGCAGGAGATGGGCAACCCGTTCGCAGAAGACCACACGAATCTCGTTAGGCTGGACACGAAGGAAGTTATGGCAGAAAGTGCAGTCACCAATCTCCAGACTATTAAAGAGATAGGGCAATCGCAATTTGACACCTACGTTACCGAGCGGCTTGAGCAGCGAGTGACTCCAGTCTCAAACATCATCCAATCGAACAACATCACTATATTCCACAAGACGCCATCCTTAAAACAGTCGCGGACGTCACACCAAATTAGAACTCTGAAAAGCAATTGTGAATTGCTTGGCAGAATGTACATTTCCTGCCAGTCCAGAGACGGTGACATGGACGAATTCTTCAGACATGAAAACCAGGGTTCACCACCTTCTCTTTCAAACATGGGAGAGCTGAGGCAATGTACCAAGTCTGACCACATTGGATGCCTCGATAAGTTGGATACACCTTCTGATGGCAACACCCTGGCAGTAGATGCCAAAATTTTGGATGGCTCCGTCGTGGTCAATATGCTGCAGCCAAACTCATGTGCAACATTTGGTGACTATAGAGATCAGGTGTTCATATCTTATATCCTCAGGAACTTGCAAGCCGCAAAGCGCCTAGATATGATCTGGGATCGATACATCAAGAACAGCCTGAAACAATCAGCGAGACAGAAAAGGGGAACAGGGTACCGCGGGATAGTCAAATGCTCCACACCAATTCCAAACAAGTGCCGCGGAGCGACAGCGCTCATCTAACGTCTACTGCGGTGACTCTGTGGTGGAGTGGTGGTATTCTAGTAAACCCTGTTAGTCCCAAATGTGTTCACATACACGCTGAAACAGTGGAAGGCACAGGGATGGTATCAGGAACCTTCTCAAAGGAATGTTCGTTGGGATCGTTATGAAAGTTGCCACGAGATGGCGCGTACGTTTAAGTGTCTTAAGATTAAAGAGGGAGGCTCCCATCGTACGTAGTAGCAACAACTATTTGCAAGACAGAATAGGTAAGCACTCATCCATTTACCTACGCAAGCCTACAGGCTGAAATAGAGAGCTGCCACCTGTAACTAATTAACACAGGCAAAAACTACACAGTACTATCACCACCACATGCACTGGCAGTGGCATAGGTTACATGTAACATACTGACAGTACAGAATGCCATAGAAATTATACGATTTAAGGAGCATAAACCTTCTTCAACCAAATTTAGCTTTTGAAATTTCACTGTGACGTTGCAGCCTCATACATCCAGGCATGTATCTAGATTCTACTAGCAAACACGGCAGTCAAATTCTTTCTAACAGACAGTAAACAAATCCATGTTTAACCCTCCTCTCGAGGGTCAAAAGGTTATCTGACACTTACTCTTCGCATGTCAGCAGAAAGTA